ATATAGTTGACAGATGTGGTATTCGAACTTAAGCTAATATATACACAAATTATATATATATGTTGTATACACATAAAATGAACATATTCATTGTCATCTTTGTCTTGTCCATAGGAACCGGTATATTCATATACATTATGCGCAATCTAAAAATTATGTAATCTACTGTAACGAGCAAGACAAGCATTGAGTGGGGGAATTAGAGCGTCCTCGAGTATGAATTGTGCGAACAGTAAGTATTACAACATCTGGCGAGTGACCATACCTCTGGTCCATTGCACAGCACTGTCCACATGCGGTTGGGCGGCGGCGTATGCTTTCTCCACCTGAGTAAAAATGGAAGGCGAGAAAACTATCAGACACATGTAGGTACGGACATGGAATTGGTTTAGTATGATAGATGCACACTTGTGTATTGGAATATGTAGTGATATCTGAGAGCAATGTGTTGTGCGTGTCTGACATTAGCGATAGGTGAATGCCTGTGGATACAACTACTTGAATGTAGGTATTGAACTTGTGGTATATATTGCCCGATTCAATTAAATAGTATGTATAGACGTACCCTTACATTTGTCTGTATGTCTACATATATCTGTATACCAATTGTAACCTTACTTGCAACTGAGCGGCGGCGGCGGCTGCGCATGGTGGAAACCCTAAACCCCATACATACAACCAATCATGCCGTTGATTGAATATACTGGTTGTAGGTTGTACAAGAATATGCCGTTGTGTGTGGTACTGATCAACAACTGGTCGCCAAAGCTTCACCACTGCACAAGGACATAACCATACACCACATGCAGCCACACAACGAGCAAGAGATGACACAAGACACACCTCGAGAATCACCTAGCACTCACTTACACGCGTCCTCGCACACACACATCCACACATGCACATATACATATATACACACATACACACATACACACATGATCATATGAAAACATCCACACTTGCACACATGCACACATGATCACATGAGAACATACACACATACACACATGCACACATTGTCACATGGAAACATCCACATATGCACACATTCTCACATGCACAAATGCACACATGCAGCTGCACCCACACGTACCGTAGGGTGGACGTGTTCGTTGTACAGCTTGGTGCCGTGGGTGTAATATTCATCCACGACAGGGCACAGTGGCTTGACCACCGCATCGTCGACTGGCTTGAGTACGTTCTTGTCAGCCCACGCATAGGCCTCATTCGCATACGGCTGGATAAGCACCAGTTGTTCGTTGGCCTGTTTCCGTGCGGCTTCGAGGCTCTCCTCGGTCTATAGTGGAGATGTTATACGGGTGTGTATGTGGTAAGGCAACGGAGGATGTGGCTTAATGTGGGCCTGTGGGGGTTATGCTATGTGTCTAAGACTGGATAGTTTATGTGCTAGAACAGAGGTTGAAAGTTTTAGGGTTTAGGTTATGGCGTCCCATGAGACACAATGATGTACTTTGTATCATAACCCCGG